GCGGGTGCCTGTGGTCCCAGCTACTTGGGAGGCTGAGGCATGAGACTCGCTTGAGCCCAGGAGTTGGAGGTTGCTGTGAGCTGTAATGCCATGGTGCCATGGCACTCTACCTAGGGGGATAGCTTGAGGCTCTGTCTCAATAAAACAAACAAACAAACAAACAAACAAACAAAAAACCCCTCAAAACACACTGCCTATAGTGCACCATCTTGATCCTGTTTTCTTCCCAACAGTAAAGTGCCTGTGTTAGCTTCTTCCCCACATAAGAAAGGCCCCAGCAGTGGTGAGTCTGATCTGATAGTTATAGAACAATTTAAGTTCCTGGAATATATTTCTTTGTAATAAAGATAATTTCCAAACCTACTTGATGTAAATGTGATGCTATATCTTCATTTCTGATGATGATTATCAGTGTGTCATCCTCACTATGGAAAGCTTGACAAAAATGCTGAGGTTCAATTTCCGTATGGCCCCCTTTCCTCAGAAGGTTCTGGAAGATTACAATGATTAGTAAAAAAAACCAAAAAGGATGCCTGCACAGAACCACTTTTAGTTTATTAGAAACAGTCAAAAAAGCATATCTCATTTAATGAAATGATGCCCTAACACGGCAGTCATAAGCGGCAATTTGTCTTCTCACTAAACACACACCTTTCATGCAGACTGTCTAGATAAACAAATGGCTCTGGGGGTCGCCAGCTGCATGTAGTTGTTTCTTTCAAAAGCAACGAGGTTTATGATGAATTTCTTATGTCCGCCAAGCGTCAAAGGCTGATGTTTTAACATCACACTCGTCTATATAAATGGGTTTGCTTCGCCTAACAGGTGAACTACCTTTTGGACAATGAATATTTGAAAAATGCCACCTCTTGTCAGAACACTTCTGGAACTTAAATATTTAAAGAATATTTAAATATTTAAATATTTAAATAAATATTTAAGGAATGCATGACATTCCTCACCCCACCTTCCCTAATATTTTGACATTACATTTGTCTGAAGTATACGGGGTTTCTACCTCACACCCAGATGTTAGTTCACTGTTTAAGGAAAAACCATGACCATAATTTCTTCTGTTGTAAAAATAAAGTGTTACTTTGGTCTGTTTCCTCTGTACCTTGAAAAAACTCAAATTTTAACTACTTGAAATTCATCATTCAAATGTATAGTTGGGCTCATGCCTGTAATCTTAGCACTTTGGGAGGCTGAGATAGGAGGATTGCTTGAGGCCAGGAGTTCTAGACTGGCCTAACCATGAGTGAGACCGCGTATCTACAAAAAATAGAAAAACTAGCCCAGTGTAGTGGTATATGCCTGCAGTTCCAACTAGTTAGAGGCAGAGGCTAGAGGATCACTTGAGCCGTGGATTTGAGGTTACAGTGAGCTATGATGATGCCACTGCACTCTACCCTGGGCAACAGAACAAGATCCTATCTCAAAAAAAAAGGTATGGAATGATTTTCAGACAAATTCTTACAAAATTTCTTTTAACAAAGAGCCTACTGAAATAGGTATAAATATAGTATAACTTTGTACATTATATTTTGAGACAGGGTCTCACTCTGTCATCCAGGCTATAGTATAGTATATCCCAGATTGAGTATACTTGTTTATTTTTCTAGATAGTCTCACTGTTGCCCTTGGGAAAGTGCTGTGGCATCATAGCTCACAGCAACCTCAGACTCTTGGGGCTGAAGTGATTCTCTTGCCTCAGCCTCCTGAGTAGCTAGGACTATAGGCACCTACCACAACGCCTGGCTATTTTTAAGAGATGGGGTCTTGCTCTTGCTCAGGTTGATCTCGAACTCATGAGCTCAGGCAATCCACCTTCCCTGGCCTCCCACAGTGCTAGGACTACAGGTGTGAGCCACTGTGACTTGCCCACTCGTTTGTTAAACAAATTACTTGAATGAGAAGACCTTCTTTTCGTTAGACCCTGTGGTATCCTGGGCTGCTGTCATGCACTTAGTCTAGAATTCCAACAGGACCGTGCAGACCCTACATCCCATCACTGATTATTCTTCAGGACTCTCCAGGACAGAGTAATTATTAAACATATCCAGGATATGTTTTTGAGGTTTTAAAAACATTTTGCTCTTAACAGTACATTACTCTCAAGTTTATTTTAAAATATGTCTTCTTTCCCACTTAAAAATCTGTTTTAACTTTGCACATTTGTTATTTTCTGTTATATATAATGGCCAACTTTTCATTATTTATAAATGAAAATTTTATTATGAAACAATATACCCAACCCCAGCACCTGGGAGGCCATGGTGGGTGGACTGCCTGCTCAGGTTGGAGACCAGCCTGAGACAAAGCAAGACCTCGTCTCTAAAAATAGCTGGGTATTGTGGTGGGTGCCTGTAGTCTGAGCTACTCAGGAGGCTGAGGCAAGAGAATTGCTTGAGCCTAAGAGCTGGAAGTTGCTGTGGGCTGTGATGCCATGGCACTCTACTGAGTGCAACAAAGTGAGACCCTCCCCCGCAAATGCATGCACCGTAAATCCAAGCACGATATCTGAAAGTACCCCTACCACAAATAAAACTGGGCATTGCTATGATCACATTTCTACATGAATCGTCACCCGATTTGGAATGGAAGTGAGAACTACGATTATTGCTCCACTACTTCTATGAAAATGAAAGCAAAAAGGAACCACTGTGGCAGCTGGCTCTGGACTCATCTGGTACATGTCAGAATATGGGGTATGTTAAATTTATTTCCGGATTGCTTTTGGAGGTCAAGCAGTTTTAGAAAGACTGATGGCCACTCAATACTTTACATTTTTACAGGGCACAGTGGCTCACACCTTTAAGACTAGCACTCTGGGAGGCTAAAGTGGGTGAATTGCTTGAGCTCACGGGTTTGAGACTAGCCTGAGCAAAAGCAAGACCCTGCCTCTACTAAAAACAGAAAAACTGATGCAAGAGGATTGCTTAAGCCCGAGTTGAAGGTTGCTGAGAGCTATGATATCATGGCACTCTCCCCAGGGCGACAGCTTGAGACTCTGTCTCCAAAAACTAAATAAAATAAAATAAACAAATACTTTATATTTTCAACACACCAGTGCTTAGCAAAATGTCAAGGACCTTGGAACAAAGACAACAGGGGGATACAAAACCAAATGTAGCAACCATTTACAAAGAACCTTGGACAACAATGGATCTTTGGCAGTGAAAAACATAAACACCAGCTGTGCTAAAGAAGAGATTCTACACATTTGGAAAAAAATTAAATCGTTCAGTCATACTGAAGTGACACAAACAGGAGGCAATTTAGGGCGGCGCCTGGGGCTCAAGGAAGTAGGGGCCGGCCCCATATGCCAAAGGTGGCGGTTCGAGCCCAATCCTGAGACAAACTGCAACAACAAAATAAATAAATTTAAAAACAAACAAACAAAAAAGCCAGGAGCCAATTTATAGAAAATGACAAGTATGGCTAGGTATGGTGGCTCATGTCTATAATCCCAGCATCTGAGTTACTCGGAAGGCTGAGGCAGGGGAAGCGAGCCCAGGCGTCCCAGGCGAGCCCAGGCGAGCCCAGGCGTCCCAGGCGTCCCAGGCTGCAGCAAGCTGTGAACAGGCGTTCTCTGCACTGCAGCCTGGGCAACAGAGTAAGACTGACTCAAAAACTAAACAAAACAAAAACCAAAAAACCCAACTGTTCTTCAAGGCCGAGACAAGGAAGATACAAGATAAGCCTGGAACATCATGTTACACTACAAACTAAGGGGGTGTAAGAATTATGGGGATTTTGTTAAAAGCGCACAGAAGCTGGAAGGGACTCCCAGTGGCCAGGTCTGGAACAACCTGAAGTTAAAAATAATGAAGAAAGAAATGATAAGCCTTTCAATAAAATAAACCAGGAAGGGACAAGCTAGCCTGAGGCGCCTCCCAACACCAGGTGCTGAGAAGAGCACACCAACATCTGAGCATTCTTGCTGGGACCACACAACTCAGGAGAACATGTGAACAGAAACTGAAACAAACTACTGAACAACTGGCCTACAGTTTTCAAAACTGTCATAATCATAAAAGATAAGGGATGACAGAGGACTATTCTAAAGACTTGACAAGCACACACCTGCGATCCTGAACTATGACAACACTGGGAGAACAGATGGTCGTATTGGGTTAAGGTGAATGTCTTGATTTTTAGGGTCATGCTCTGATTATTTATGAAACTGTTCTTGTACTCAGGTAACAGACATTTTAGGATCCAGGGGTAATGGGGCGCTGTGTATACAACACACTTACAAATGGTTCAAAAATGTTAATATTGGGTTATCTGGGTGAAGGGTACTATTTCTGCAACCTTTATGCAATTTTCAAATCACTGAAAATATTTTTTTAATGCTGTCTATACCCCAAGTAGAAGAAAAATAAATTATGAGAGGATACTAAGGAAGCTACTGGTGAATCATGGCAGATGCTGGCTCTCCTCAAGCCAGACTTCATCACGGTTACATCATGTACTCATCAGAGACCATCAGTTCTTCCTTCTTCCTAATACCAATTTATTTATTTATTTATTTAAGAGACAGAATCTCCACTCTGTTGCCCAGGCTAGAGAGCAGTAATGTCATCATAGCTCACAGCAACCTCAACCTCCTGGGCTCAAGCGATCCCCTTGTCTCAGCCTCCCAAGGAGCTGCGACTACGAGCAGCTATCATAATTTTTCAATTTTAAGTAGAGACAGGATCTTGCTCTTGCTCAGGCTGGTCTCGACTTTCTGAGGTCAAGGGATCCTCCCACCTTGGCTTCCCAGAGTGTTCAGATTATAGGTACAGGCCACCACAGCTGGCCATACTAAAAGTTATAAAAACATCCCAAACCAAGCAGTCCCCTCTATTTTTTTTTGAGATCAAGTTTCACTTTGTCACCCTGGGTAGAGTGCCATGGCATCATGGCTCACAGGAACCTCAAACTCTTGGGCTCAAGTCATCCTCTTGCCACAGCCTGCTGGGACTATAGGCGTCTGCTACAATATCAAGCTATTTTTTCAAGATGGGGTCTTGGGTGGCACCTGTGGCTCAGTGAGTAGGGCCCCGGCCAAACTACAACAAATAATGGCTGGGCACTGTGGTGGGCACTTGTAGTCCCAGCTACTTGGAAGGCTGTGGCAAGAGAATCACCTTAGCCCAAGAGCTGGAGGTTGCTATGAGCTGTGACCATGGCACTCTACTGAGGGCGACAAACTGACACTCTGTCTCTAATAAAAAAGAAAAAAAGAAAAAAAAAGAAAATGGGGTTTTGTTCTTGTTCAGGCTGGTCTTGAACTCCTGAGCTCAGGCAATCTACCTGGCTCAGCTTCCCAGAGTGCTGGGATAACAGGCATGAGCCTCCATGCCCAGCCCCAAGAGGTCCCTCTCAATTGTCCCCACTAATGGAGGAACACAGGTAGTAAAAAAAAATTATTTATTTTTTTTGAGAGTCTCTCTATCTCACCCTCAGTGGTGACATCATAGCTCACAGTGACCTTAAACTCTTAGGCTTAAGCCATTCTCTTGCCTCAGCCTCCCAAATAGCTGGGCCTACAGGCATCCGCCACAATGCCTGGTTATTTTTTTGTTGCAGTTGTCATTGCTGTTGAGCTGGCTTGGGCCAGGTTCGAACCTGCCAGCCTCAGTGCATGCGGCTGGCGCCATAACCACTGTGCTATGGGTGCCGAGCAAACACTGGCAATTATTTTTTTGCAACAGCTTCAAGCTGTCGCCCTGGCCAGAGTGCTGTGGCATCACAGCTGACAGCAACCTCTAACTCCTGGGCTTAAGCAATTCTCCTGCCTCTGCCTCCCAAGTATCTGGTACTATAGATGCCCGCCACAATGCCCACTATTTTTTGGTTGCAGCCATCATTGTTGTTTGGTGGGATCAGCTCAGGTGTATGTGGCTGGCACCTTAGCTGCTTGAGCCACAGTCGCCAAGCCAACACGGCGATTTTTAATAAAAATGTAGTCACTGCCTAATTTCAGAACATCATACAAATCTTCAAATATACATAGGAGATCCTTATAGGAAACATTCTTATATAGATCAACACTGAGCTATAAAACCTAAATGCCATTTACTAGCATGAATTCTTTCTAAAGCCAAGATAGCGAAATTATTCACAGATCAACTAAAATTAGAAATTAACATAAAGTATAAGAAAAAGCTAGCACCTTACCTTTGTTCTTACAAAGAACAATTTGTCTTCTGTTTCAATAAGGTGGAACAGGAAGGTGCTGTTACAAGCCTCTTTCATGACATTTTTTAATTTGACGTGGAGACTGGTACACAAGTCTGTGATCATGTCTTCATAGGAGGCTGACTGCCTTGAGCAAGACAGATATATTTCTGGAGACATGGCAGCTTCTCCAGAATCGACATTTAATCTGCTATCTTGGGAAACTACTTGGCTGCTATTCATCATCACCTTATTGAACTCAGCATATTCATTGAGAATAAGTGAAATATCATTTCGAGAGTCTTTCAAAGTACTGTTATATTTCAGTTTGTTGAGGTGGAATGAAGCTGTCGGATTTTTTTGAGAATTTGTAAGATTGCTACTGTGATCACACTTCTTCTTCCAAAAGGAGGGCAAGCTGTGCAGACTGCTGGGCAGGGGCCCACCCCTGTGCTGGCCCTGCCTAGAGTCTGAGTGCACAACTGTCACCAGGAGGGAGCTTTTGCTCCTGAATGCAGGATGCCCAACTGGGGCCTCACATGTTTTTGTCAACGGGAAAGTGCTGACTGCAGCCTGGGGAGGCGAGCCCTTGAGAAAGATACTGGAAGAGGTAGCAGGATGCTGTGCACCCCTCTTCTTCACTGTCTGTTTTACCTTATGTGCAAATCGAAGGTACTCCAGGTCTAAAGTGTTCTGGGTGAGGTCGCTGGTCACCTGCCAAGTGCTTGTCCAGGAGCTGAGCAGGTCACAGTCTGCAGTGAAATCTGGGTGCCTTCTCAAGCTGTGTAAAGTTCTTGTGGTATCTTTGAACTCTTTTGTTATAGTAAAGTTGGCGTAAGTTCTGGGGATTCCACGGTAATCCTGGATTTGGATATAACATGGCACACACTTACCTTCTTTTTTTAATGTACTGGCCCAGGGCCTGGAAGGAGAGTTTGTCTCCTTGCCTGGAACCTGGTCCAAGCAGCTCCAGTCTATGTGGTCACTGTTGTCTAAGTTCGTCAAAGAGCCATAACTATCTTTGGCAGCATCTTCTCCTCTCCTGGTGTGACTCTCCCTCAAAGTGCAGGAGTCCTCCATGTCTAATTTGGGGTTTCCACAAACACTGAGAGGGGCTAGATCAGATTCTATAGAAAGTGGTTCACAGTGCACAGCCCCAACACCTGCCCCAAGCCTTAGCCCCTCACCAGCCCTTTCACACTCCACATGCTCTTTAGAGATTCCACAGGCAGGAGGGTCAAAGGGCTCTGGGATACAGGAAGCATAAGGTTCTCTGTTGGAGTTCTCACTCACATTTGCTGTGTTTTCACAAGTGCCAACATACATGGGGAAAACTCTGCTGGGCAACAGCTCCTCTGTCACACACTGTGACATATCTTGCAACAGGTGGATTGTTTTTTGTTTGCTTTCTGGAGATACACTGTTGGGTGGAGGGCCAACAGTGCCTAGATCCATGTTTTCTTCATGTAATGCCACCTCAGTTTCATTGTTCTCAAGCAAACAGGCCATTTTGACTACTGATAATTCCTGTGTTTGAAACCCTGGGTCTACAGTCACTGGACATAGACTGGCCATCACAGTGCACTCTAAAGAGGAACCCTGTGCCGGGACCTCTGGGAGTGCATATGCCTGTGTGGCCTGAGTGCCAGCAACTGGGGCAGGGCTCAGAGACTTAGTCTGTACACAGCTGCCTGTGCCTGTTGCCACACCACTGCTCAGAAGAGTCTTCCCAATGTTGGGAGGGCTGGTCTGTTGCTTTAATGACGCATCCAACATACCACTTGGAGCAGCTGAGGAAATCAATGTGTCAGCCAAAGACTTATTTTCCATAACCTTTCTGGGACTAAATGGAAGTTCACTGGACTTCAAGACAAGATGTTTTAAGTCCAAATTTCTGTTCTCTATACTAACTGGCTGAAAGAGATTTCCTGATTTCACCAGTTTTTGCAGAGGGAGCTTGAAGTTCCCTCTGTACTCAGCAGCTAAGGCAGGCTGGGTTAACTCTGTGCCAAAGCTGTGCACCATTTCTGAGACAGACAGACTCTCATCACACTTCCCCTGGCCCACCTCCTGGGTTACTTTATTGGGAAGGGCAAGTCTACCCTTTGTCTCTGTGTAATCAGTCATCATCAGGGGCACCTTAGCAAAGGACTGCATGTGTTGGACCTGAGTTAAGTCATTTTGTCCCACTGGATAGGTAGGACCAACAAAAGAATTTTCTTTTTCTGTTATGCCTAAATCTCTTGACTCTAACTGGGAGAATCCGTTACTCTTTGCATTCTGTGTCCCATGATGTTTTAAACCACATGGAGACACTGCCTGGTATGGTCTTGTCTCTTCAAGTGATACTGGGGCATCAGGACTAGAAGCTGGTGACACTTCCTCAATTAGAGAATCAAAGGGAAAGTCAGAAGTCACATTAATTTCCTCTGCAATCTCAAGTGTGCAATTTTCCTTAGAAAGGATTACAGTAACTGGTTGTGACTGATCACCCTTTCTCTCCTTATTTTCTACTGGTTCTTCTGATGCTGTGGGATATACAGACACATAACCAGAACGCACGTCTCTGTTCTCTGGGAGCACCAGCTCCTCTGGCGCGACTGTTTCTTCAGCCCTATCTTGAAGTGCTAAACTTGATGACGGGGATTCCTGAGGCTGCTCTGTCTCCCTAGCTGATGTTTCTTCTCTGGGACTTGTAGGCGGTGATATTGTTAGAGTTAAGTCAATGTCAGAATCTTCCTCTGATAACTCTAGCCTGACCTCTCTATTCTCAGACAGGGAGGAGTGTTTGGCAGACACTGAGTTAAACAATTCAGAATTCTGATTTTCACTATTGAGATCACTCCTGGCATTCTTCCTCAGTTCTAAAGGGCCATCTGATGCTCTGCTGCTTAGAGCAACACAGTTCAGTGAATGCTGCTCTTCCAAGGTGGGAGAGGCTGATGATGAGTTTACTTCAACCAGTCTTGGCTCTACAATCTCCTCTGACGATACTCCACAGAGATTCTGAGTCTGCAGAAAGAAATCTTGGGAGTGCTTCATTTCTTCATTAGGTGACAGACACCTGGATCCTTTAACTAAAGACGGTGCCTGCACTGCCACTGCACTATCTGATGGTGATAAGCCTGAAAAAGGCATTTCTTTCTGTAATGTGCACACTTCTTTATCAGGAGTCTCTCTACTCAATGAAGAGACACACAGGTATTTAGTGCCCTTCTGTCCTGATACAGCAAGAGCTGAAACATCCCCGAGACTCTGTGTCTCTGCCGTTCCCAATGTGGACATGGGATGTCTAAGACTCGTAGCCGGTGGCAGGTGAACCAACTCCTTATTAAAGGCTGTAGATTTATCAGCTCTATTTGTAACTTCTGTCTGTACTGCTGCATAGGCATTTTTGTCTAAAGCGAAAGTAACAGGCTCCACACTGACCATTACATACCCCCTATCATCATCCTTCCCTTCCAAGGAAGGTTGGCACTCGTGTATGGGGCTGGGGCTGCTATGCTGGATAAGGTCCTGTAAAGCACCTGATTTTGTTTGTGTTGTTACATGAAAAATATCATCTTTGTTTTCAAGGGTGCGGTAATGAGGCATTGCGGGCTGACTACTGATCCCATTGTAGGTTGTGGTGAACGTGGCTTGAGTGACAGTTCCACTGTAAGAAGCCACTCTTGTGCTATCCAGTGGCTGAAGGGTTTTATCTTCACTAGGAATAGAAGGTCCATTAGTTTTGATATTTCTAATACCAGAAAGCACAAGATTGGAAGTCTCTAGCTTATCTGATGATTCCTGTTTAGCTTTTGTCCCAATTACCTAAAATGACAAAAGTTAAAAAAATCAGATTTTGATTTTTAAAAAACAATTATGCATGTGAACAAATAAGACAAAAATTAATTTTGTGTCAAATACATCTCTTTTTAAGATAGGTTTAAAACAGCCCCCAATGGAATTTTTATTTTTCTTTACTTTGAGACAGTGTTTTGTTCTGCTGCCTGGGCTAGAGTGCAGTAGCATCATCATAGCTCAGTGCAACCTCAAACTCCTGGGCTCAAGTGATCCTCCTGTCTTGGCCTCCCAAAGTGCTACATTATAGGTATGAGCCACAGTGCCTGGCCTGCTTCCTTTAAATATATACACAGTGGGGCGGTGCCTGTAGGTCAAAGGAGCAGGGCACTGGCCCCATATGCCAGAGGTGGTGGGTTCAAACCCAGGCCCAGCCAAACACAGAAAAAAAAAAAAAATGTATACACACACACACACAGAGATGAAGAATTCTAAAACTTTCTTAACTGCACAGCCTTTTTAAATACCCTTTTGGAAAAAAATGTGACTAGAATACTGGTAATTCTGAAAGGCAACCTATTTTTAAAATAGCATCATTTAACTCAGAAATGCAATACTAGAGAAAAAAATACACTCATTCTGGTAAATAAAGGCCCCTCAATCCTTAGCTGTCTTCTTTATTGAAAACTGGAGATGTCTTCCTCATTTTAATACCTCCTATTCTACAGAGCAATTGAAAACTTATCAATGTAGTTTGCATTTATACACTAATGGGACTGATTTCTGATTTTTTTTTTTTTGTTGTTGTTGCAATTTTAGGCCGGGGCTGGGTTTGAACCCACCACCTCCAGAATATGGGGCCAGTGCCCTACTCCTATGAGCCACAGGCACCGTCCTAATGGGACTGATTTCAATAGTAGCAGGATTTAGGTTAAATATTAGCAGAACTACCTCATAACAATTTTAGTAACCTCACATTCAGGTTGTTTTGTTTTAAAGCCTCAAGCATGGTCTAGTCCAAAATGCTGTAAAATGGACAGATTACGCAACTGACCACACCTCTTCAATATTGGGAATGTGCTCACAGCCTGCTGGCCATGTTCTGAAGCACACAGGCTGGAAGTTAGGACCTGTGTTTCACATCTCTGCCTAGAAACATTTCTGTAGCATAACACTAACTGGAGCAGCAGGGGAGGGCTAAGATGTCAGAGTGTTAAGAGAACAAAGCATTTTAGTTTCACTGATGTGTCCTTTTTTTTTTTGAGACAGAATCTCACTTAGTTGCCCTTGGTAGAGTGCCATAGTGTCCTAGCTCACAGCAACCTCCAACTCTTGGGCTCAAGCGATTGTCTTGCCTCAGCCTCCCGAGTAGCTGGGACTATAGGTGCCTGCCACAAGACCCAGCTGTTTTAGAGATGAGGTCTCACTCTGGTTCAACATAGTCTTGAACTTGTGAGCTCAAGGAATCCACCTGCTTGGCCTCCCAGAGTGCTAGGATTACAGGTGTGAGTCACCTTGCCCAGCCTGATGAATCCTGAGAATGTTTCTGTGGTCATCCCAACGAGGCCATGGCTGGTAACACTTGGGCACAGTCCCAAGCCCTATTATACCTGTAGTCTTGGTGAAATGAAATTTGTGACAATACTGATGTAAGCTGACTGCTCGAGGGTTAACAACTGGTCAACATATGGAGGCGGTCACCAGAAGGAAGCAGACGTACTGTACTAATAGGTACACACTTTACTGTCTTGTACAGCTTTTACAGGGTATCATGCAAAATCACACATGATCAAAACACAGTAAATCATACATACAGTATCATACAAAATCATGGTTACTGTTTTTCCATGGTTAAAAATTATTCATTCTGAAAAAAAGAGCCAATCTCGGTCTAGTCCTTATTGTTACTACAGCCAATGACTTCAACTACCATTAGCAGATCCCTGACATCTTCCTCTTTTGGAATCTCTGTATGGAATTTCTGTGTTATCCTCACTTGCTTCTACATTACGTGCTTCCTGCACTTTTACACTGGTTTGTACTTAGGTCAATATTAACTGGAAAACTGCTCTGGGGCAGGTTCATTACAAGCTGCCACCTCATCATCCATTGCAATAAAACCTTCAAACTCCATTCCTTGAATTCTGCCATGCCGATGGACTGTCTGATAGGCCTAAAATATAGTGCTCTTGAGCTGCGACAAATTCAACTTTCTTGAAACACTTCTATATCCTTTCTGGCTAAACTTTACTCTAAAAGCAGAACTGATCCAGGGGACGGCACCCAGAGTGTTAACTGATACAGTGGATGGTGTTGCTACCACAGGTGGACCACAGGTTTGTGTTTTAGCAATATATGACCTACTCTAGGAGCTGAGCTTGGTAATACAGTTTACTTTATTTTGAGACAGAGTTTCACTCTATTGCCTTGGGTAGAGTGCCATGGCATCACAGATCACAGCAACCTCAAACTTCTGGGTTCAAGTGATGATCTTGCCTCAGCCTCCCAAGTAGTTGGGATTATAGGTGCTGCCACGATGCCCGACTAGTTTTTCTATTTTTAATAGAGACGAGGTCTCACTCCTGCTCAGGCTGGTCTTGAACTCTTGAGCTCAGGTAATCCACCTATCCCAGTCCCCCAGAGTGTTAAAATTATAAGCGTGAGCCACTGCACCCGGCCAGTAGTACATTTTAAATGATTTGACGAGGCCTTAGTCAAGAGGTTGGATTTTTGAGGTTGTGTCTGGAGGCAGAAATTTCAGTGTCCCATTTGTGAGATGATTCACTTGTGGGTAGCCAGGACAGTTGCCTACTGTCAGTAGAACAGACCGTTTATTCTTCATTTCTTGGTTGATACCCCTTCCCACTCCTCAGCTAAGGCACCCATCACTTTTGTGCACTTGTTTGATCTCTGAAGTGATGGGGAGGTTTTGGGGCTCAGGTTCTTGAATGCTCCTGGCTTTGCCAATCCACCAATCAACAAAGGCTTTGGTTTTTCTCCAGTTGAGCGAGCGCAAGGCTGAACTGTGAAACGTTCTTTGGAAAGTCTTCTACTCTTACATTTGTTACCCTTCATGACCAGGCTCCTATCGGGCATTACCTGGAAAAAGAGTCCACCCTTATCATATCAGCATTGAAGACGTCATCTTTGAAGCCTCTGGAGGAGCCTGGGAACTTTGTGATGAACTCTCCACAGTGTCTCCTAGAACTGCATTGATTCACCACTCAGGATTTTCTGAGAGATTTTGTGTTGTAGTTTAAATTACTCAAGTCAATCACTTGATGCTTAGAAATCTGCCACCCCAAATTCCTGTGTGCATTTCTGGGCACCATTTTTTTTTTTTTTTTTTGAGACAGAATCTCACTATGATGCCCTCAGTAGAGTGCTGTGGTGTCACAGCTCACAGCAATCTCAAACTCTTGGGCTTAAGTGATTCTCTTGTCTCAGCCTCCCAAGCAGCTGGGACTATAGGCACCTACCACAACACCTGGCTATTTTTTTTTGGGGGGGGGGGTTGCAGTTGTCACTGTTGTTTTAGCTGGGCTGGGCTGGGTTCAAACCTGCCAGACACAGTGTATGTGGCCAGTACCCTACCCACTGAGCCACGGGCGCCACCCTGGGCAATTTTTTGTATCACCAGTCTGGAGATTCAGACATTAACTGCTCTCACTTGTCTGAACCAGCTTAATGTGGCTTCACTGATATCACTGAGGGAAGCTTTCCTCCTTTTCCTCTGTAGGTCTCTGCTTTTCATTTCTCTCCAAATACTTACCTTTACGTTTTTGGATGTTGCTAACTCTGGTCTTGCTAACATCAAAACTTTCTGCCATCTTTATTTGCTACAACTTTCCAGAAAATGTAGATCAACATTTTCCTTCAATGTCAGCTCTCTGAGTTACAGGTATGAGTCACTTCACCTCTAGATATATTTTCTACTCTAGGCAAAGTGTGTTTCTAAAATACAGCCTAGTGTCAGTGGCTAGGGTGCCAGCCACATACACAGAAGCTGGCGGTTGGAATCCAGCCCAGGCCTACAAGGCAACAATGACAACTACAACAAAAAAATAGCCAGGTACCTGTAGTCCCAGCTACTTGGGAGGCTAAGGCAAGAGAATTGCTTAAGCCCAAGAGTTGGAAGTTGCTACAGCACTCTACCAAGGGCAACATAGTGAGACTCTGTCTCAAAACAAAAACAAAAAAATAAAAAATAAAATATGGTCTAATTGTTTTAAAGTGACTGCTCAGTTAAGTGCATGGCTACAAGAACACACTCACATTTGTTTCTAGAGCCTGTCATGCTCGGGTCGTGTGGAGGACCCCCATGTCTAGTATTTCTTGTGACCCCCACTTGTGGAGGAGGGCGGTGGGACAGAGCATACTTGTGCCTTTCAAGAGGAGGCAGAGTCCAAGAAGATAATGAAAAACTAAAGCTACACATTAGTAGAGACTGTTAGAAATCATTAATTTTAATATTCTACTTTATACTTATTTATATTCTATTTCCTTTGTCAAAGATCATTTTGAAATAAGTACTGATGACAGTTAATTACATATTTCCACAAATACTTCAAAAGAAACTAAGTAGTAATCGATCAAAATCTGCCTCGTTTTTCCTGAGAATTGCCTGAGTCCTTTTTTTTTTTTTTTTGAGATAGAGTCTCAGTAGAGTGCCATCATAGCTCACAGCAACATCAAACTCTTGGGCTTAAGCGATTCTCTTGCCTTAGCCTCTTGAGTAGCTGGGACTGTAGGTGCCCACCATAACACCCAGCTATTTTTAGAGGTGGGCATCTTGCTCTTGCTCAGGCTGGTCTCGAACCTGTGAGCCTCCCTTGGCCTCCCAGGGTGCTAGGATTATAGGTATGAGACACCGTGCTCAGCCAGAATTGCCTGAGTTAATGTGAGTGAAGGGCCTAGTGTACCCATCATCTGGCATACAGTGTCCAGCTAACTCTGATGACAACGATCATCTGAAGATATTCATGGCCCCTACAAAGCCCATCCATGGACCTCCCAGTCCACAGTGACCCCAGGTACAGAAACACTGTCTATTCAGAAGTAAAATTTCAGGCTCGGTGCCTGTGGCTCAAGCGGCTAAGGCGCCAGCCACATACACCTAAGGTGGCAGGTTTGAATCTCCAGCCCGGCCCGCCAAACAATGACGGCTGCAACCAAAAACAAAACAAAACAAAACAAAACAGCCAGGCATTGTGGCGGGCTCCTGTAGTCCCAGCTACTTGGGAGGCTGAGGCAGGAGACTTGCTTGAGCCCAGGAGTTGGAGGTTGCTGTGAGCGTGATGCCATGGCACTCTACCCAGGGAGATAGCTTGAGGCTCCGTCTCAAAAAAAAAAAAAAAAAAAAAAAGAAGTAAAATTTCACACGTCCTACCCAAACACATGCAGAATTATTTGAGAATAAATCTAGGCTGAAAGGTGAAAAAGGCAGATATTTTATCACTTTCTTTTATTTAGAATTTTGTTATAACTTTCTGATTTGCTCTAGTTAAAATTTGTAGCTGGGTACAGTGGCTCATGTTAGCACTTGGGTGATAACATTTTAGGCCAAGAGTCAAAGACAAGCAAGGGCAATGAATGGCAGGGAGACCCGTCTCCACACAAAATGACTAGCTGGGTGTGGAAGTGGGTGCCTGTAGTCCCCGCTACTCTGGAGGCTGAGGTAGGAGGATCACTTTAACCCAGGAGGTCGAGGTTGCTGTGAGCTGCAATCATCCCAGTGTACTCTAGATCTGCCAAGAGATCCTGCCTCCCAAATAAAGGAGGGGTGGGTGAAATTTGAATCATCTGGCCTTGGAACAAAACAAAGTTAATTTTCCTTATTTGCAAATACTTGTCTGTTATCTGCATCGGCTGTTCTCTCCTCAGGTCTAGCATCTTACTGTTCCAAGATTTATCTTCAAAAACCATTTCCAGTTTACTTTAAGGTTTATGAAAACATGTCTAATATTTATTGTGACCAACTTTTTTTTTTTTTAGAGACAGTCTTATTCTATTGCCCTCGGTAGAGTGCTGTGGCATCACATAGCTCACAGCATCCTCCAGCTCCTGGGCCTAGGCGATTCTCCTGCCTCAGCCCCCCAAGCAGCTGGGATACAGGCACCTGCCACAATGCCCAGATATTTTTTTTGTTACAGTTTGACCGGGGCCAGGTTTGAACCCACCACCCTCGGTATATGGGGCCAGTGCCTTACTCACTGAACCACAGACGCCACCTTATTGTGACCATATTTAATCCTTAAATAATATTCTAAGTAGGCATAATGTGTTATTAGTCATCTCTTTTAAAAAGTTAAGAAAATAAGCTCAGAGAGAACAAGTGATTTGCCCCAAATTACTAAATAAGTGATATATAATTCTCAAAGAGGCTTTGAGATCACCCAGCTCCTATGATTTCCTTCTACTCCCATTTTTCTAATCAGGATGGCAGACTGACTCTAGCTGCTGACAACTTGAGGGACCTTTATGAAAACTACATTTTTGGCACTATAATCCTTTACATACTTGGAGAATCCACTTTCCTAAAATAAAGCAATGCCTTGTTTTGAATAACTTTATAATACATATAAAAATGAAAATTTCTTCTAAAATAATGCCAACATTTACAAGTACTCAGCCTTACTTACCTCATTATTGTAAGAACAGAGGAAACTTTGGCCTTCTGAGCTATCTGGATGATACTCTCCCGTAAAAATTTCTTTCTGTTCATTCTGCACAGAGAGTTCCAAGCCCTTGGGAGAGGCTGGTTTAATAAGAGGAAGCAAGCAGCAAGGGTCAGGGAAGGACACTTCGGGAGCAGGACCCTGGGAGGCTTCATTAGTCTCCGACAGAGGGTCTGTAAAACCTCTTTCCATGCTGGGGACATCCTCCACTTCACTGAGCTCACTGGATTCTAACATGCTATTTATAGACACATACTTTGCAGGGTTGCTGTGCTCCACCACTTTCCGGGATGACCGTATGACTTTGTTCTGACTGCTGTAGAACAGAGCTACCCACATATGAAGTAAAAGCTTCACTTCTTCCACACTGTCAGGCAAACTGGTGTTCCAGGGACTGAGATTTTGCAGAAAGAACACACAAAAATCATTGAAAATAGTTATTTATCTACCATAAGCACGTGCCTCTATTACTAACGTTAGGTTTTGTGTTCATTTTTATTAAAAACAAAAACAAAAAACACAGATCTGAAAAACAGTGAATTTGAGTTAATGCAAAGTTGATCTAATACATAACTGCAAGTCTAACCTACTCGTCTCACAGGAAGGAACGAGAATCAGAACACTTAAATGACTTTTTTTTTTTTTTTTTGGAGACAGAGCCTCAAGCTGTCGCCCTGGGTAGAGTGCCATGGCATAACATCTCACAGCAACCTCCAGCTCCTGGGCTCAAGCGAGTCTCCTGCCTCTGCCTCCCAAGTAGCTGGGACCACAGGCGCCCAACCACAACGTTCGGCTACTTTTTGGTTGCAGCCATCATTGTTGTTTGGCAGGCTGGGCTGGATTTGAACCCGCCAGTGCAGGTGTATGTGGCTGGCGCCTTAGCCACTTGAGCCATAGGCACAGAGCCTTAAGTGACTTTTTTCAGTCACAAAACCTGCATGGTAGAACCAGGACCTCTCCTGACTCCCAGTCTACCATCTGTCTTTTCTTCCACACAAACTCTCCCTGGACAAAGCCTAATATATGAACAATGCTTTAAGCAACTATCAAATCTTCATTTCCTTGTTTTTGATAAGTTGGACTCATTCACTTCTTTTCCATTTTTGTATCTCTTTTCCAATAGCTGAGAAAGTCTGAAGATTAAAAACATCTCTGGGCAACTCAACAGAACCACACAATTTTTAGATTAAAGTTCTAGAAAATATCCTGCAACTGTAGGGGAGATAAAAAATGTTTCTAACCATTTGACAGGCAAATACAAAGTAGACAGATGGAGTGGGCTACACTGGGAGGCCACAGAACTAGGTGACAGTTAAACAGGATTCATGTTAATGATATGGCCCTTCCGAGCACATGGAATCCGAGTGTGTCAACTTGCACCAGGAGAGACATCTGAGAGCTGGGTCACAGGTGAGAGCCCACCAACGGGAAGCTGCTAATAGTGACAGGTACCGTTTATTACCATTCATTACCATTCAAGACCTCAATATACCTACCCACCTTGGGAGGGAGCTATTACTAAACCCACACTTTCAAACGCTGGTCACAGACTGTCATCCTCTGTTGACATCACCTGAAAATTTGTTAACAATTTCACCCTAAACAACCTGTATCAGATTCTGAGGTTCAGTGACATCCCCGATGAGCCGCACACACGCTGTAGACTGAGATGCACTGTCTGGAAGGGCATAACTTGCCCAAGGTCTCCAGAGGAAATAAAATGGCTACCTAGAATCAGAGTCCACACCATCAACTGCTGTTCTTACCTCTGTCACTTCTGAAGGAAGATCCACAAAACAAGCAGCTGCTCGCGCCTATCATCTGACCAATTCACCAAACTGGAAGTAATTTTTAAAATGGTTCTTCTACAGTTCAGTCTTAGTATTATTTCTAAATAAATCTCATACTATTTCACGTTATCTAGATCTCTCCTAAAAATTATAATATAATTAAAAGGCCACAAGGGCTTATGAAGGAGCATTACAAAACAGAAAGCCTTTTTTTGAGACTGAGTCTCATTTTGTCGCCCTCAGTAGAGTGCTATGTTGTCATAGCTCATAGCAACCTCAAACTCTTGGGTGCAAGCAATTATCTTGTCTCAGCCTCCCAAGTAGCTGGGACTATAGGTGCTTGCCACAACACCCAGCTATTTATTTATTTATTTGTAGAGACAGAGTCTCTATCACAAGGGTGATAGAGTGCCGTGGCGTCACACAGCTCATAGCAACCTCCAACTCCTGGGCCTAGGCGATTCTCTTGCCTCAGCCTCCCCACCCAGCTATTTTTTAGAGACAGGGTCTTGCACTTGCTCAGGCTGGTCTCAAATCTGTGAGCTCAGGCAACCCACCTGTCTCAGCGTCCCGGAGTACTGAGATTGCAGGTGTAAGCCACCATGCCCAGCCTCAGAAAGCCTGAGGCTAAAGTTATCTTTAAAAAGTTTTCTATGGGATCACACACTGGCAAAACCAGCTTGTTACTCTTAATCATCAGTAAACATGTTTGCTTGATATTACTACCCAGCTATAGGTTTTAAACACACCTCCTTCTCTGAGATTGACACAAGTTTCCCTATCTCACTACATACATCCCCAAAGTTCCTCCATCCATTTCCACAAGTTTCCCTCATACTTACCCATGTAATGCTCTTTGCACAGTTTTCTCTAGGGGGTTGTTGGTGTATTTGCTATCTAAACTGAACGCATATTCCGTTTCACATTTGAAAGTGATCTTGTAGGATCCATCACAGCTAAACACTGTGTGAGAGCAAAGAAAGCCTTTCAGGCTGGAGGACAGCGGGCGGCCCCTTTTGTGTACCAGGATGTCTACAGGAGGCTTCTGCAGGGGGGAGGTGGTCTGCTGGTGCCGAAAGGGCAAGACTTTTCCCACTGGGGTTCTACCTTCAGAACCCTTGGTCCTATTCCTGGTAAAGGCAATGCCTGCAACCCCTCTCTGGTGTCGATGTTTCCTTGAATGTTGTGCAAGGAACAGAGCATACGAGTGCTCCACACAGATGAAAAAGCTCTGGTTTGCATATGAAGGCTCTAGTGTGCCCTCAGTGAGTGCTGATTGTGCCTTGGTAAGGGCCTGCCCACAAGGACCCAAGTTCTCTTCATCCTGGCTAACAGTGAAGTCTGGCCCAGAATTATTACCAGGGGATGGTTTAGGTGATACTCCACCTTTTGGATTTTTAACTTCTTTATAATATTCATGGTCAGATGTACCTTGCGAAGAATTTTCTTTAACGAACAAAAGATCATCCTGTGACAATTCAGAGGCGCAGAGAAGGTTTCCAGGTTCAGATGCTGGCGTAGAAGAGGTAGCAGAGCTTAACGCCAGGTCCGCTAACATATTTAGGGCCTGGGAGGCATAGTTGACAATGGAGTTTTCAGGGAGATCTTTGTGGGCCACCGTGGAACTTTGTGGCTGAATTGTGTTTATGCTAATACCATCTTCTTGACAAGCTGATGAAATTTCTGACTGAGGCTGTAAAGCAGTTTCTCCTTTGGCTTTAGTATAAAAGAAGAAAGAAAAAAGATATATATAATGTTTGTTTTTCAAAGAATTCAGTCTCTACCATACTACTATGCCTCGGTGAAAATTAATGATAAAAAACTTTACTATCAGACTAACGTCTTTCCCAACCTCAGATCTATTATATGACTGACTAGAGGAGGGGCAGGTCTAAGAACATAGACAGATAAGAAGAAATCACCCTTTAAAAAGGGACACACTGAACTCAACAGAAGACATACACTCAGCTCAAGAAATGTACAGATAGAAAGAACAAGAAAAAATGAGAGTCCTGCCCTTGGGGAGCTTACGATCTGAGGAGGGTGTAAGCATGTAGAAGCTTCTAGCATGTATTAGAATCTGCTAACACGCTTTCTCAGAGACCATTTCCCCTAACAAGTGAATAGAGGAACCACGTAAGTTGAAACAATTTTAACTATATCTATCTTTAATTATTAGACTTAACATGAATAAAAAATTAGAAAAGTCGTAATATTCAGAGCCAGCAATTTCATCACCTTTTAAAACTTTACATTCATGACTGAAACCATTACTCTCTTACTCTTTTCCCAACACAGCAAAACTACTGATAATTTTCCTTTCATTCAATAATCAAACTTCTCCACTTTTCCTTCATCAGAAAGTTTGCGTTCTCTAGTGCTGTGCTTAGGCCTTTTCAGGACATTCATTAATCCTTCCTAAATGCTGTCCTTTTGAAGGATAAAATAAACAACTATACTCAGGCAGTAATCACTGCTGCAGCTAGGTGGGTGAACACAAAAGCCAGCTGTGTTTCTCTTTACAATCCATAGCAGAGGTTTGAGATGAATTTAAACACCTGCCAGCAAAGGCCAAGGACTTAAAGAGAAGAAAATGCTGTTCTATGATGTCAACAATTAAAATGAGAAGGTGGCTTCACTGCCACCTTCATTTAGGCATCCTGATAACTCTGACTTCAAATATTCAAAAGCAAACCATGTATCCCAAATGTGTATACCCTCATAGTATCTGGAAAAAAAAATAATAAAACAGTAAAACCCAAGGGGGACTAGGTGGAAGAAAGGGACCCAACGCAGAGAACTGTCTGGTTAGCCCCACAGGTTTATTGGAAATGTGACTTTTATTTTATGACCTGGTATGTTTGACACTGGTTTCATCCTTCCTACATTAATATTATTGCCTCTACATACGTAACCTATGTCTTTCACAGAATATCACAAGTAAAACCTAATAAAACAATATTGAAGTCCAGAAAAATGGCACAGTTTAACAGATATGTATACCCTCATGTAAATCACTGACTGACTTGTTACGAGTGCTCAATCAAAAACATGAACCCAACCATAAATCTGCTTACGACACACAGAGAAGAAAAGACAATGCCAAAGGAATTGTATTAAAAATATAACAAGTTCAATGAACAAAAAACTATCAAAAACTGTATCAAAACTTGGAAAAGAACAGAAAATCATTAGGTTCAGTGACTAAATGATTGTTTGACTTTAATATTTTGAAAATGTTTGATTTGGGGGAATCGCTTTTCTTTCCCTAAGTGCAAACCTCCTCCCACGAGTTGATCTGTCAGTGACTATCTGAGAGCCAATTCCATACAAAGAATTCAAGTGACAGTGTTGAGTACATGACATTATGTGCCTGTTCTGACAATGTTTACAAATGAATTTGAAAGGTAGAACCAAGACATATCAAGTAATTAGAAAACAAAAGAAATATAGGGCGGTGCCTGTGGCTCAAGGAGTAGGGCGCTAGCCCCATATACTGGGGGTGGCGGGTTCAAAACCGGCCCAGCCAAAACTGCCAAAAAAACCAAAAAAATGTACACCACAGAATATTATGCAGCCTTAAAGAAAGATGGAGACTTTACCTTTTTCATGTTTACATGGATGGAGCTGGAACATATTCTTCTTAGCAAAGTATCTCAAGAATGGAAGAAAAAGTATCCAATGTACTCAGTCCGACTATGAAACTAATTTATAGCTTTCATATGAAAGCTATAACCCAATTATAGACCAAGAATATGGGGAAAGGGGAATGGGAGGGGAAGGGAGAGGAGAGGATGGGTGGAGAGATGGTAATTGGGGAGACCACACTTACGGTGCATCTTACAAGGGTACATGTGAAACTTACTAAATGCAGAATATAAATGTCTTAACACAATAACTAAGAAAATGCCATGAAGGCTATGTTAACCAGTTTGATAAAAATATTCAAATTGGACTCAGCGCCTATAGCTCAACCGGCTAAGGCGCCAGCCACGTACACCTAAGGTGGCGGGTTCGAATCCAACCCGGACCCGCCAAACAACAATGATGGCTGCAACCAAAAAATAGCCAGGCGTTGTGGCGGGTGCCTGTGGTCCCAGCTACTTGGGAGGTGGAGGCAGGAGACTCGCCTGAGCCCAGGAGTTGGAGGTTGCTGTGAGCTGTAATGCCACAGCACTCTACCCAGGGGGACAGCTTGAGGCTCTGTCTCAAAAAAAAAAAAAAATTTCAAATTGTATATAAAATCAGCACATTGTACTCCACGACTGCATTCATGTACACAGTGATGATTCCATTAAAAAAAAGGGGGGGGGGCGTGGTGCCTATGGCTCAAAGGAGTAGGGCGCCAGCCCCATATGCCGGAGGTGCTGTGTTCAAACTGAGCCCTGGCCAAAAACTCTAACAACAACAACAACAAAAGAAAAAAGTAGAAATTTAATTCTGTAACATTCCCAAAACCAAAAGAGAGAGATTAGTGAGGGTCAGACAGTGAGACAATGCCCCTAGGTGGGCTGGAACTTAGCTACTGGACCCTGGCCGGCTGAGGGTGCACATGGGAAGCCCGGCCTGACTGGGAGTGGGCTAAGCCCACACCATGAAGTCCCTCTAGAGATAAGTGAAAGACTTAAATTGGGTATGGAAGCCAGAACTGCAGCTCGACAAGTGTTTGTCTGACATGATGAGCTTTAAAAAAATCTTCAGTCATAGAACAATATTAAAGAAGCTTAAAAAAAATCCAAGCTCACCTATAATTCCACCATCCCAACAAAAATAAAAGTTTCTCTGAATTCTCACTATCTGAGACATGAAAAGTCTAGTAGTAACAGATGAGGGAGAAAATAGCATCAGAGAAACCCTACAGAGCGCTGACAGCAACATGGAGGCAGGAGAAAAGGAAGAGTTTCTGTCAGACAAGACACTAACAAGCACACTGTCACAGGACCCAACCCCAAAGACCAGGGTCGCAGACTTCAGGGTCTGGAGTAAGAATTATACCACGCACGGTAGGTATAGTTAAGAAGGAAAACAGACCCAGAGGGGAGCTGGTGCATGTTCAGATGCACAGAGGTGAAATCTAAGGTGATACCACACTTTTCTTTCTTTTTTTTTTTTTTTGAGACAGAGCCTCAAGCTGTCCCCCTGGGTAGAGTGTCATGGCGTCACAGCTCATAGCAACCTCCAACTCCTGGGCTCAAGCGAGTCTCCTGCCTCAGCCTCCCAAGTAGCTGGAACCACAGGCACCCACCACAACGCCCAGCTATTTTTTTGTTGCAGCCATTATTGTTGTTTGGCAGGCCCGGGCTGAATTCGAACCCACCACCTTAGGCGTATGTGGCTGGCGCCTTAGCCGCTCCAGCCCACACTTTTTTTTTTTAAACTGAAAGCAACTTTAATTACCAATAAACAAAATAACAACTGTATTTTGCATAAACTCCACTCCTCACAGACACACATTTTGAATGCTTTATATCATAATTTACATAGTTGTATTGCCTATTCCTTAACAAATTATTATAGTTATTATTTTAATAGTTTTGTCTTTTAATCTTCATACTAAAGATGTAAGTAATTCACAGACCTTATTACATTAACAGTATTCTGAATTTGACTGTATACTTACTTTTTTTTTTTTTTATTAAATCATAGCTGTGTACATTAATGCAGTCAGATACCACACTTCCAGAAGAGGTTATGGCTAGCAATTGAAAATACAGACTGGAACAGTCAGCTGTGTGCTCTGCAACTATAGCTTCTATTATTCACATAAGTTAGAAACGTGAAACTACTTTTAAAATTAATTGAGTGCCATTTAAAACCAAATTCAAGATTACTAACAGTTAAAAACAATCTATTTGTAATTTTCCTTAGATAAGCTCGTAACTTTCCACTTTCTATAACTGATTATGATCCAGAAAGATACTACTACAGATACTACCTGCTTGTGCCCCTGGTCACAAACAGTCATTTATACTTTAGTTCTTTATAAATAATCCAATTCCTTCTCAGGCTTTATGCCAATTAAAAACTGGCTCAACTTTGTGAAGGTCTGAATCTTTGCACCATGCTGATTTATTCACAATAGGAAATTGAGTTACTTCTTCTTGTTAGTACTTGAATTAAAGAACATAGAAAAAACTACTGGTAGATTTTAACTGCTTGTATATTATCTCAACACACTATCTTGCACACTTTATTAGCTCTGTACTGTGCTGTTCAAGTTTACAGGAAGAATGGTTCTTACCGGGCTGTGGCTGCTTTCTGACTCTGGGATTCTGATTGCCTTTCCCTATAGTTACCCTCTGTTTTTGTGGACATTTCTTCACAGGTGGCTTAGGCCTTGGAACAGTTTTGACTGGAGATTTCTCTCGTTTCTTTGCCCTTTTAGTATTCGTTGCCACAGGAACATCTTTAGAAATAGGAGCATCTTGGTTTTTCCTATCCAATTTGGTTTTCTGTACAAACTGTGCAGTCAGCACTTCCGCACCTTATATAGAAAACACAGAATTTTTTTAGGGGTAGAGGCCCAGACACCTAGCAGCAAAGCCTTCCCCTTTCTTTTGTTTTATGGGGTAAAGAGGGGAATAAAGTTTCAAATAATTTCATTAACAGACTTTAACAATCCAAGTCTTAAAAGTTCTCACATAAACACAATGTGAACTTGCTAAATGTCTGTCTATATCCCCAGCAGGTGAAGAAGAAAACAGATGGGGCTCCACACCCATAGCTCAGTGGTTAAGTGCCAGCCACATGTGCTGGAGCTGGTGGGTTTGAACCTGGCCAGGGCCTGCTAAACAGCAATGACAACAACAACAACAACAACATGAAGCCGGGAGCTGTGGTGGGCACCTGTAGTCCCAGCTACTAGACTGAGGCAAGAGAATCCTTTAAGCCCCAGAGTTTGAAGTTGCTGTGAACTGTGATGCCACAGCACTCTGAGGGCGACATCGTGAGACTCTGCCTCAAAAAGGCCAGGTAATAACTTTATTAAAAGGCACAACTTAATTAAAAAAAAAAAAAACTTCATAACCTTTCCTGACTGATGTGGCTGGCAGGATGGCATATGTGAGTTCACAGGCCCAGTGGAGCAAGAATTTTATATAGGTAATAAAACTTATCTTCACTGCGAAAGAGGCACGTCACATGTGTTATTCTACAGGAGGAGGTGGGAGAGAAGAACACACTACCTCGTTTCAATCTGAGATGGTAAAACAAAATTAACAAATGCCCACTTTGAAAATGTTAATTTCACTGATTTTCATAATTTCAGTTCCCACCAAAAAATTCAGCCCCCAAAATATAAAATAATCACACACAGAGATGGTTGACAAATATTTTAAAATTATACAGAGAACATTATTTCTCATTGAGGACCCTATACATGATATTAAACAGTTTGCAGAGGGAAAGAAAGAGACCCATGTCATTTCATTCTGGGAGGGGGGTGTTTAGAGAAAGGAGCGGTTCTTTAAAAGGTTTTCAGAAACTCTTAATGTTACTCATTCTTCTGGGTCTAATTATTTCCCTCTCCACTAAATTTATAAGCACTAAAGCAGCATCATTTGTAAAAAGTTAAGACTTTTCATTCCACTCCAGTTACACTTTCCAAACTCTTCAGCATAAGAAAAGGCAAAATGCAAATCAAGCAAGGACTGAATGAAAAAGAAAAAAAGATTAGACAATGGAATTTTCTAACATTTGCATAAACAGGAGAAGATCATCTCTCAAAACCTAGGTCCTGGAAAAAAAGGAAAAGAAGAGAAATTAAACAAGGTGGCCCAGCAGGGGTTGTTCTATTTGTATGTAACACTCAAAACCATGTTTCCTGGCTTGGCACCCATAGCACAGTGGTTATGGCGCAGTTACAGGGCCAGCCACATACACCAACGTTGGTGGGTTCAAATCCGGCCAGGGCAACTAAACCACAACGACAACAACAAAAAAATAGCTGGGCGTTGTGGCGGGTGCCTATGGTCCCAGCTACTTGGGAGGCTGAGGCAAGAGAATCACCTACGCCCAGGAGTTGGGAGGTTGCTGTGACGCTGTTGCACTCTACCAAGGGCAACACAGTGAGACTATGTCTCAAAAAAGAAAGAAAGAAAGAAAGAAAGCATGTTTCTTAAACTCTTGTGCAATAATCCACTATTACAGTGCAAAATAAGTTCAGCATGTCACCCAACCAGAATTCTCTCTTAAATTCAGCAGAATAGAATAAAAATGACCAGATTGTATTACACATAAATAATTTTTAAAAATTTTAAATGTCAGTCATGTATAAATTTTGGGGTACTGGACTATAATACCAAACATATCTTATAGTAAATATAATAAAAAACATCAGAGAAAACATGAGACCATGTGCTGAATCACAGATTCTTTTGGTTCACACAGAACAGGAAGGAACTCAGTGCGGCTGGCCTGGAACATATTTACAAAGAGGAGGCTGTAAGTCAGATTCAGGGCTTCACACTGCCACACTTCCCACTATCCTCCTAACCCCCCCCCCCCCCCCAAAACCAGTTCTGAGATCACAAAAAGCCAGAAACCATACTTGTTAAGCCACAGGGTAAAACCTTAATTACTTAGAATCCTGAAGATCACCATATCCTAGGTGTTTCTTCTTTTGGCACTAACATTTTCAAACTTCAAACATTACAGACATGGTGGACAAATTTGTTCTGTGAAGGGCCAGAGAGTACATACTTTGAAGTTTGAAGGCCACATTCTCTCCCCCTGTTGCTCAGCTCTGCCAATGCACAGCAGCCAGAGATGACATGGTAGTAACTGAGCAGCCCCTCAGCCATGGTGTGCTGACCCTTTCTCTTAGGATCAAACAGCTATGCATAGTCCCTTGCCCTTGTAGAGAAAATACACGATGTAATTTTAGATTACCCAAAGCCAAAGCCATGGTTGGCTGTGTTGTGCGCAGTACACTGTGTGCGCCTCTAGACGATCTAGACTCTCTCACTTTTCAGAGAGTGTCAAAACTATGCGTGCAACTATTTTTAAATTTTCAAAGTCTCATTTTGTTGGCCCAGCTAGAGTGCTATGGCATCATAGCTGACAGCAACCTCAACCTCCTGCCTCAGCCTCTTGACTACCTGGACTTACAGGTGCCAATCACAATGCCCAACTAGTATTTTTACTTTTAGTATAGATGGGGTCTCGTTCTTGTTCTTTTTTTTTTTTTTGAGACAGAGCCTCAAGCTGTCCCCCTGTGTAGAGTGCCATGGCATTACAGCTCATAGCAACCTCCAACTCCTGGGCTCAAGCGAGTCTCCTGCCTCAGCCTCCCAAGTAGCTGGGACTACAGGCGCCCGCCACAACGCCCGGCTATTTTTTGGTTGCAGCCATTATTGTTGTTTGGCGGGTCCGGGCTGGGGATTCGAACCCGCCACCTTAGGTGTACGTGGCTGGCGCCTTAGCCGGTTGAGCTATAGGCGCCGAGCCTCGTTCTTGTTCTTATTCAGGCTCAAGTGATCCTCCAGCTTCAGCCTCCCAGAGTGCTGGATTACCAGCATGAGCCACTGCACCCAGCCTGTGTGTGCAACTTCCCATGTTTCCAGGCCACTGCATATTCCACTTCAGTGAGTCTGTCAGAGGAAAACTCTGACACACATACAGTATTAGAAACTCTGCCCTAGACTGCTTTAGTTTAGAGGCCTACTTTCCATAAGTGTTCAGGCTGTGAGCTCTCACCTTTTACTATTGGTGTGCTTGATTTTAGTAAGTCTTTTTTTTTTTTTTTTGAGATAAGAGTCTCAAGCTGTCACCCTGGGTAGAGTGCTGTGGTGTCATAGCTCACAGCAACCTCCAACTCAGGCTCAAGCAAGTCTCTTGCCTCAGTTTTTCTATTTTTAGTAGAGATGGGTCTCACTTTTGCTCAGGCTGCTCTTGAACTTGTGAGCTCAAGCAATCCACCCGCCTCCGCCTCCGCCTCCTACAGTGCTAGGATTATAGGTGTCAGCCACCACACCCAGCTCTGATTTTAGTAGGTCTTCTTCTCCCACCTCCATTTGTCAGAGGACGGCACAGAAACTAGACATCCATTTTTCTTACAATGGAATGTGAACCCATGAGTGGCTTTACAAGTGGAACATGTACTTTTGGTGGGTAGGCATTTGAGTGTCTTAATCTCCTATTTCTTGGTTTCCAGCTTTATCTAGAGCAGCACCTCATGGGTTTTAGCTGCACACAAGTCACCTGGAATTCCCCTTGTCTTCTAAATGCTGCTGCTCAGCTGAGTCGCCCCATGCACCAGGTGGAACAAGGTCTGAACACAACTGTTGTTACTGTAATAATCCACGCGCTTACCTCTTTTCCTTTTCTGAGGAAAATGTCCTTTAACTAACTTAAGAGTTGTTGGAGAGTCCAGGCCACTGTCTGCTGAGGGAGCAGCCCTTTTGGGACAGGGGCGGCACAGGTTCACCTTTCTGCGGGGCCCTGCGACGGGCGTGCTGGCCTTCCTCTTAGGCTGCACTCTCAGACTTCGCGCTGGACTTGGTGGAACCACAACTCCCTTCTTTGCTTTCAAAACTTCAGATTTCTTTTTTGTTTCAGTTTCTTTTCTTACTTCTACCTCTGAGTCAAGAAATTCAGGATCTGGAGTCATAACTAAAGAAAATCCAGCATCACAAATTCCATCGGAAACACAAGGAGACTGAGGAGGCTCTGTTAACAAATCCAAGGCAGTAGACACTTCCAAAATGTAACTGCTAGGATCTGAAAAATAAGACTTCAGCTGAGTTAAAGACTCTGAAGGGCACTTTTCAGCTGGAGAAACCCAGTCAAAGTCACTGGACAGTGTCCCAGGGAATGCCATCTCTTTAATGCCACCCTGGGGAGCAGTCAACGAAGGTCCTCTGTCCACCTTGCACTGTTCTTGGAAATGATACTTTACTAATGCATTTGGACGGGCTCCTTCTTTAGGAAGTGATTTCTTTGCTTCTAACAGGGCATAATTAAGGGTGTGTAAAACAGGTATCACCTTCATTGAGATGTCATCTTCAGCTTTAGCATCTTTCTCCCCTAAAATACATACACATGTGTTATTAAACACTGGAAATTTTGTTTTATAACAGAACACACAGAAAAAAAGGTTTCCGATTTCAAAAGGTATTGTGATGATTAAACATGCTTCAAATAACCTAAATGGCAATTAACAGATTACTAAAAGGACTAACAAATACATTTAAATGAGTGTATCTCCATATTTAAAGTCACATACACACATACCCCGAAGTGAAAAAGAACCACTTGACAAGCAATTGCTAGGTCACAGGAGTAAGGTCACTCCGCTTCCAGGCCTACCTCCCCTGACCAAGAGGCTCAGGGTCCACCAGACCAGCGGCAGTGGCCCTTACTACTGTTTACAGTAGTGGCAGATTTACTTTCCTACTTTTAAATTTTAAGTTATTGCTTTTAAAAATACTCTCATTTTTATCTGTACCTTATATAACTCACTTCAGATTCTTTTTAGATATTATAATGCAAATCAACTGAACTGAAAAAATAATAGCCCTAAATAATGCCAAAATTGTACTGGAATAATTGTTCCTAATTTCATCACCTTTTCTGTCAAATGAAATAATAAATTAAAAAATGACTAGTTTGTGCTTCATCTTCTCTTAGCTCACCCTTTCCCTAAAGGGGTAATTTTTTAGCAAATCAATAACCTAAAGGAAAGAGTGAAAGGGAATTAAAAAACAGATGCGGCTCGGAGTCTGTGGCTCAGGCGGCTAAGGCACCAGCCACATACACCTAAGGTGGCAGGCTCCAGCCCGGGTGCCAAACAACAATGACGGCTGCAACCAAAAAAATAAAATAGCTGGGCGTTGTGGCGGGTGCCTGTGGTCCCAGCTACTTGGGAGGCTGAGGCAGGAGACTCGCTTGAGCCCAGGAGTTGGAGGTTGCTGTGAGCTGTGACGCCACAGTACTCTACACAGGGGCACAGCTCAACTTGAGGCTCTGTCTCAAAAAAATAAAAAATAAAAAAATAAATAAATCAAAAAAGATCCCTGTGAACTAGGTAATAAAATCTAGAAAATTTCAGAGTTATCAGTTAACATAAACCCACAAATAACAAAGGCCTCTACTGCCTCATACATGGAAATAGAAATTGTATTATTGGTTTTCTTTTCTTCTTTCCTTTTTTTTTTTTTTTTTTTTGAGACAGAGTCTCACTATGTTGCCCTCAGTAGAGTGCCATAGTGTCACAGCTCACAGCAACCTCTAACTCTTGGGCTTAAGTGATTCTCTTGCCTCAGTAGCTGGGACTACAGGTGCCACCACAACATTGGCTATTTGTTGTTGTTGCAGTTATCATTGTTTTTTAGCTGGCCCAGGGTAGGTTTGAACCCGCCAGCCTCGCTGTATGTGGCCGGTGCCCTACCCACTGAGCTAGGGCACTGCCAGAAATTGTATTATTGTTAAAGAAAAAGTAACTACAAGGTTAAGAAACAGCAAGTGAGTCCTAATTAAATACATTAGCATTACAGCAGAGATTAGGAAAAGGAGGACAAAGAATAAAAAGGAAAGTGTGGCTCTATATTAGAATAAAAATTCTTTTCTGGGTAGTTCATTGTTTAGAGCAGCAGTTCTTAACCTGTGGGTCCCAACCCCTTTGTTCCATTTGGAACAACGTGGCAATTAGGAAGGTTGAGAACCACTGGTTTAGAGTAACAGTTGAAGGAAAAATGAAATATGAATAAAGCTGGCCGAGCTCAGTGGCTCACGCCTATAATCCTAGCACTCTGGGAGGCCAAGGTGTGTGGGTGGATTGCTTGGGTTCAATCAATACCAGCCTGAGCAAGAGTGCGACCCCGTCTCTACTAAAAATGAAAAACTGGCAAGAGGATCACTTGAGTCCAAGAGTCTGAGATTGCTGTGAGCAATCTACCAAGGGAACCAAAGTGAGACTCTGCCTCAAAAAAAGAAAGAAAAAAAAAAAAAAAGGAAAGAAAATATGAAGAAGTCCTTGGATGGTACTAAATTCACAATAAAGTGTTTCCTAGGAAAAAGTCATTATTTCAAGAAAGAACCTGGTAAGGCAGAACCCAGGGTGATTTGTATTAAACTATAATAAAATCTACAAAATATCCTCTTTTGAGTTGGCCAAGGAGTTTCTTCATCCTTACAAAGGTTAAAGAATACATATTTTAAGGATTACTAAATTAGTTATACCTACAATACCTGATATAATGAATGCTTAAAAATGCAAACAGCCATTGCTCCTATGTTCTTATAATTGCTAATGTTTTACCTGTTCCAAAGAAGAGATGCCTAAGAAAGCAGTTCTCTGCTTTTAAGTAATAGAATACAATTTAAAAAAAAAACAACTTTGAAAACATGTTTGCATTAGTTGTAGCTTTACAAACATATATAATTTTAAACACAAAGTATAATTATAGAACACTAAGAATCTCCTCATGCGTCAAAAAAAATTACTTGCATTTATTTATACAGCAAATATCATTTTTAAGTGCTTGGCTTTGCTAGGCATTAGGAATAAGAAGAACACAAAGGCAGGCATTAAATAATCAAACAAGTGAGTGTTTAAGTTCTACTGACAGGCCTAGGGGTCCTAGTGGATGGAGAGTGGTGGTGATCAGGAAGGGGACACCGAAACCCAAGCTTGACAGACGTGAATAGGAATAAACTAGAGAAGTGTTTTTCTCAACAACCTTTTAAATCATGATCTGCCCCTAGCCCTTTCTGACTCACTTTTTCCCCCAACTGTCCTCTGAAATTTTGATACTACAGATAAACTACTGCATATCTGTTTATGTACTGTATGGGTGATGTATTTTTCTTTTTGCCCCCAAGAGCCAAGTTTTGGTCCTTCTGGGGGTAGGGAGGACACCATCTCCCCAGAATGTGTGGGCTGGATAAGAAAAAGAACAACAGTTCATGTTAGAGGAACAGTGTCTTTGAAGGTTCTGATTCATATTTTTTGGAAAGACTATGGTAACAGTGTCTCTGAGCTTAATCTAAACAAATGAATTCAGTTCTAGACACAATGAATTTGAGGCTGCTTTCAGACATGTCAGTGGAAATGTCAGTAGATACTTGGAAATAAAGTTCTGAGGCTCAGGGAAAAGGACAAACCTGCAAAAGAGGCTAAAAGGCCAACTACAGAGGTTTAAGAGGAGAGTTATTTAAGATGAACAACCAGTTCTCAGTGCCATGTGCTACTGAGAAGTCACGTCAGAGGAGGGCTGAAATACATCTGCCAGACAGAGAGACCCGGAAATCACTGTGTCCTTACCTGCTGTCAGGGGAAAACGGAATAAATGTAACCCGTGCAGGCCCATCTGCTCAGCTTCAACATCTACAGAGTAAGAATCACAAGAAAAGTTAGTTTGCTGATCTTATAAAACAAAAGTAAATGTCCTTAAAAAAAATAATCTTTTCAAAATAAATTATCCATACCTGATTCTGATGTTAAGGCTGATGATGTAAGCAAAATGAAAACCCCCCGATCCTCTAAGCATTTGATGATTGCCTTAAATATAAAAAGTACATATGAAAAAAGATTCTTTGATCTCTTTCCTTCTCCCTTTACCACACTCACTAGTAAACTGTTGACATCAATAAAAAAAAAATTCCAGAAGTGTTAATGTTTGTAAGAAAAAGGTAATTCTGTCCCCAAATTCAGAAATGGAGTTCCTTAGCTCCAATAACCTTGGCCTCATTTGAGCTCCATATAACTAGAATGCCAAGGGTTAATAGTGTCTGTTTAACTACATATACAACAGATCAATCAGAAAAGCCTTATTTGGCTCAGCGCCTATAGCGCAACCGGCTAAGGCGCCAGCCACGTACACCTAAGGTGGAGGGTTCGAATCCCCAGCCCGGACCCGCCAAAACAACAATGACGGCTGCAAC